GAATCAGAAGGGTCAGCTGGTCTGGCTCCAGTGGCAGTAGGAGGAAAGGAGGGTTCCACCCCCTGTCTACTGCGCCCACATTCATGCCAAGGTGCCGCATCTCCATGAAGTTAATCGACCTGACTGCCGCCCTCAGAGGGGATGGGAGAAGCACCTCTTCTGGACACATCAGGGGACCAGGTCTGGATACCAGGTCTGGAAGAAGGACCAGGCTCCTCCAAATCCACTTCACTGATTGTTGAGGTAATTCCCCGTTAGGAGAATGAGCACACACAGGGAGACATAGTAAGAGTGGTGAAGAATAACACACAACCAGCACACAGATACACTGTATAGTAAAATGTAGGTTTTTACTTCCAGTAAACGGTTAAGCAAAGTTCAACAAACAGTCCAAGTCATACATAGTTATAGCAGTCAGTTTTCAGTCCAGGGATAATCCAATAACAAAGTCCATTATCAAAAACAGTTCACTAATAGACTCACATCAATCCGAGAATAACGATGATCAGCAACAGTCAATAGGGAAATGCAGGAACCAAAAACAGCAAACATCAGAACATCGACCAACTAGCAACTAGCAACACTCAGGACTAAACAACCCAGGTTTCTGGCTCCATCTTATGGCCGTTTGAGGAACCACACCCAATTACAATTTCAGCATTCCCTTAAAGAGACAGTATTAAACTGTCTATTCTGGTTTATATATTACCAACCCAACTGTTAGGTGACTTACATTCCTAACACTGATGAGTGATGCTGGAGAAGTAGCTCGTGCCGACGTTAAGCGAGAAGAGGCCTGATGCACCTTGGCTATCTGCTTCTCAATGGTCTGATGGTGCCTGGAAGTATCTTTCTCCTCCGCCTTTGAGGCCCTTTTCAGAGGTTGCTTTCCTTTGGTAGAAGCAGCAGGAGCTGATTTAAACCCCGCAGCTCTGTAAGGAGTGTGGCCTACACGCATGCTCTCTGAAAATGGCTGTCCGACTAAGAAACAGCCTCCTCTTCACCGCAGAGTGCAGAAAAACGGCTCCGCGGCTCTGTAGAGAGGGCGGAAGTGTCCACCCTTGACACATGGCTGTCCGGCTGATTGATCCTCATATCTTCTCCCAGGAGGGCTGAAAACGGCCCCCATGGCCCCTGCAGGCTGCTCCGGATCCCTGGAGCAGTCCTCAGCTGTTTGGCAGCTCCCAATTGTCAGCTGAGAAGCGGAGCACCAATTTCAAATGGGGGAAGCAAACGGAGGCTTTTTTTCTTTAAAGAAAGAATTTCCTTGTAAGGCTGCCTTTGGAACTAAAAAATTCTAAAGGCAGGAGAGGCAATACCACACGTCTTGTTCTGCTAAGGACTGAGTAGAAACTGGGGAGGAGTCACCCAGAGTGGGCGGAGCTTGGCTAATAAGCCTTTTGCACAGACTCAGTCCTAAGCAGCTAATGAAGAGTATCACCCATCCTGACCTGTTACAGTCTTTCAAGGGAAAAGCATCAGAGGTGGAATTCAGCCGGTTTGCACCAGTTCTGGCGACCCAGAAGCAAGAATTTGGCGTGGGTCGCAGAACCAGTAGCGACATCTGGCTGGCCACACCCCAAACCGGTTCCTGGTCACCAAGCGTTCACCGTTTGCTCACTTGCCCCGCCCACCCTTTCACCACTCGCTTGCCCCGCCCACATACGCACAGCCCGCCCATCCCAAACCCACCCTATAAAAACGCATCGCCATGTGGTCTTATTTGCGGCTGCCTAAGCTGATTTGAGACTGATCTACTCTTCCCCAACAGATCTCCTACAGGACCTGACTACAGGACCAGGTAAGCACTGACTCTCTAGCCCCCAGCGCCCAGCCCTGGCCCTGGGCTGAACCCCAGGCATTCTTTTCCACCACCCGGCCTTGCCCCAGCTGCCAGCAGCCTCCGCCAGCCACGGCCTCAATCCACGGCCTAGCGTAGCTCCCCAAGCCACTGCGGGTCCCTTGTGGGCCAGCCGCTAGGCTTGTGGCCGCCCAACCCCCACTGCCAGGCTTCCAAAAGCCCCCAGTGCTTCTTCTCGCCGCCCAGCCTCGTCCTGGGCTTCTGGGGCTCTCCAGAGGCCATGGGGCCTCCAGCCTGGGGCCTCGCATAGCTGGCCAAGCTGCCGCGATGGCTTGTGCCGTGCTGCCGAGGTCCCCGCCACACTTCCCCATCGCCTGGCTTCATCCGGGCCTTTCTGGAGCCTCCTGAGGCTGTGGCATAAAGCCCAGGCCTTGCGCAGCTGGCCAAACCACGATGATCGCTCGTGGGGCTGCTGCTGCCTGTTGCAGCTGCCCCCCCAACCCAAGGGCTTCTAAAAGCCCTCGGAGGTCCTTGCTGGCCAGGCTAGAGTCCATAGGCTCCAGCCAAGCCAGCCTTGTTAAAAGAACCCACTTCCCTCCCATCTCCAGCCTCCAGCAAACACTTTGAAAGCAAACACCCCACCCAAAAGTACTGCAGATAAAAACCAGTTTTTTACTTAATCCCCAGACAAAGCCACTGCAATAAAAACCCTGGTTTGTTCCCCCAAGGACCCAAAACCTCACACCAGAAATCTCAGCCCTTCTGCCTTTAAGAAACCACCAGGCAAACAAGCAAGACAACAAAAAGCACCACTAAAGTACAGCCATTAACAGTATTTTAATTCATTTTCATATCTTTGTTTTTCCATTGTTGTGCAAACACAATTCTAGCAGCAGCTGTTGTATGTGTAAAATTAAATGAATCCAACAAAATATTTCTGGTTTTAAATCCAGAATGCCCTCTGTTGGGATTTGAATTTGAGCTTGTATTCTGATTGGTTGTCAAACTCCCATGGGGCCATGCAGGAGCAATTCTGTAGGCTGTCCTGAGTCCCAGTCTTGGTTGAGCCTTGCTGGATGATGATGTAATGAAAGGGCTTTGGGCAATTCCTAATATAGCTCTACCTGGAGTAGATCTTCGTTATGTAAAATAGACTGGCCTAGGCCAGAGTAATGGCCCATTAGCAAAGGTTGGGGGGTGGGATTAGTTTCTGCCTCTCTTGAGTTTTTACTTTTCTTTTTAGGGGAAATATTTTGCCTTTTTAATATATCCTAAAATATTTCATTTTCCTATGAGGGGTGGGTTTTAACCTTCATGGGCAGAATAGCAACTATAAAAATGAATATACTACCAAAACTATTGTTTCTTTTCCAAAACGTCCCCATAAAACTAGAAAAAAAAATCTTTGATGATTTGGATAAATTAACACTGAAATGGCAAAAGAAAAAAAACTAGAATTAAATTAAAACTACTGCAAGATGCCAAAGAAAGAGGTGGATTTGGCTTGCCTGATTGGGAAATTTATTATAGGGCTGCAGCTCTCACATGGGTAAAGGATTGGATAAACCTTAAGAATAGAAGAATGTTAGCTTTAGAAGGCCACAATCTACAGGCAGGATGGCATGCTTTTTATGGCAGGATAGACAAGAGGTCCATAGATACTTTCAAAGACATAAGATTAGGCAGGTTTTGTTATTGGCATGGAATAAAACTAGACAACAAATATATGTAGAAACACCAATATGGCTATCTACACTGATGTATCCACATTTGCTTCGTCAAGGGAAAATTATTACTTATGAGGATATCTTAAATGAGACAGGAGAATTAAAACCGAGGCGAGAACTGAAAGAACAAGGAGTAGATTTAGAATGGTGGGCCTACCTACAAGTCCAATCGAGTTATTGGAAAGACATGAAAGATCGGGGAATTAGCAGACAAAAAATGCAATTAGATGAGATATTATTGGGAACAGATGATAAATTGATAAGGAAAATTTATAGAGTATTATTGGAATGTAAATTAGAGGAAGAAAAAGTAAAAGAAATGATGTTGGCATAGATGAAAGATATTGGGCATGGTATTAATTTGGACAAATGGCAAATTCTATGGGAAAGAAATAAAAAATAATAACATTGGCCTCATCGTATAAAGAAAATTTATACAAAATGTTTTATAGATGGCACATTCCTCCAACAAAATTGGCTAAAATGTACCCAAACTTATCCCCTATTTGTTGGAAATGCTCCCAGGAAAATGGATCGTACTATCATGTATGGTGGACTTGTAGGAAAGCCCAAAATTTCTGGCATAAAATCCAGAGCTGGTTAGAAGAAATGTGTGAAACCAAAATTGAATACAAACTGGAATTTTTCTTATTAGGAATTAATATAGAGAGATATAATAAATGATGTATCTAATAATACATGTAATTAAAGCTACAAGACTAGTTTATGCCCAAAAATGGAAACTTAAGCAAATTCGAGATGAAATAGAGATAATTAAAAAGATATGGACATGCGTAGAAATGGACAAATTGACTCAAGAACTAAAAAATAAAGATGAATCTGAATACTATAAAGTATGGGAAAAGTTTTACCACAGGTTGGAAAAAAGGAAGGACTCAAAATGTAAATGAAAATAAGATAAGGATGTTAAAATGATAGATTAGGATTATTAAAAATGATTAATGTTGATGTATATATTATATATTATGTATATAGTATGTAAATATGTATTATTCACCATATGAATTAGCTTTGTAAGACAACTAGGTGTGTCAGGATGATTACACCACGTTCACTGTTTTTAAATGTTTCTCTTTTTTGGTGTTTAATAAAAAATTAATAATAATAAAAAAAGATTGCAAAAGCATCCACTGGGCTGCAAGTGAGTATCATTTATTGATCCAAAAAGGTTTTTTTTCCCTTTCAGATACATCAGTGGTGGGTATCTTTAAATATATGCAGTCAACAGCCAGATACCACATATTGTGCCTCTTCTTTCAAAAGTATAGAGCAGTGTTTCTCAACCCTGGAAATTTTAAGGTATCACAATTCCCAGAATAGGGCAAGCTGGTTGGGGGATTCTGGGAGTTGAAGTCCAGACATCTTAAAGTTACCAAGGTTGAGAAACACTTGCATAGAGCTTTGTAGGATTTGATTTCTGGCAAAAATATCAAAAATGGGAGATGATCTACCTGAATGGGTCCTACTGACATGAGCAGATTTTTCAGCTGAATATCCGTAGTGGATGAAGAAAGCCCTTCCACTGACACGATGCAGGGCTGAGGTTTGCACTCTACCACACGCAGATTTGGTTTACTTGCCATCAAGCGGCCTCGGCCCATCTGGCCTGTGATCCCCCTGCCTCTCCCATGCAGAATACCCTGGTGAGAAAAAAAGTATTTGATTTCATGCTTCTGCTTACAGAGTATGACAAATTAACACAAAAGTTATATATTCTCTTAGAAGGGTTGGAGGGCAAATTGCTAAAGTTCCACTAGTAAACACAGTTATTGGCCTGGCAGTAAAATTTCATTAGATTCACTCTCATTTATATTATAAACTAGACAGCCCATGACCCACTGTGTCATCATTTCAGAGATATTTCCTAAGCTAAACAGAGAAACAGAATGACCACATGAGGGCAAAAAAGCAGCGGGAGTGGGAGCAACTTCTGACTTCCTGTTGGCTTCCCCATTGAATTTCCTCGTAGGATGCTGGTAGGGAACATTGGAATTGATGTTGATGTGACCGTGCCTAACTGTGGCAGCACTCAAATGGCCAAAACTTTGCCAAATTTCAATCCCACTGGAGTCATGGGTCTCAGATTTGGGGTGCTTTCTATAAGTTAGCCCTTTTGAGGTATGTTAATTTAAAAATTGTTGCCCTACGACGAACTGTTTCATCCAATTGAAGTTTACAATCAGAGTTTTAATAGTACACAGATAGGAAACAGCACAGCAGCGTATCATTTCTAACTTATATACTGCCCCATAGCATTTTACAGCACTCTCTGGGTAGTTTACAATGTCAGCATTATTTGCATATTTCCTCCAACAATCTGGGTCCTCATTTTACCAACCTTGGAAAGATGGAAGGATGAGTCAGTTTCCAAAATCATAGGAAAACTCCAAAATAAAGTTCCCATCCTTGGGGGAAAACACTCCCAAAACAACAAGACTTGCCAAAGCAACACACCTTTCCTTCATGAAAACTTTTATTTCCAACAGTGTCCTCAACTCAAGTTAACCCTTCCCACTTTACAGCTGTTCCATAAGACAAGTCCCAACAACTCTGACATACAGGTGAAACTCGAAAAATTAGAATATCGTGCAAAAGTTCATTTATTTCAGTCATGCAACTTAAAAAGTGAAACTGATATATGAGATAGACTCATTACATGCAAATCAAGATAGTTCAAGCTGTGATGTGTCATAATTGAGATGATTATGGCTTACAGCTCATGAAAACCCCAAATCCACAATCTCAGAAAATTAGAATATTGTGAAAAGGTTCAATATTCTAGGCTCAAAGTGTCCCACTCTAATCAGCTAATTAAGCCATAACACCTGCAAAGGGTTCCTGAGCCTTTAAATGGTCTCTCAGTCTGGTTCAGTAGGAAGCACAATCATGGGAAAGACTGCTGACCTGACAGTTGTGCAGAAAACCATCACTGACACCCTCCATAAGGAGGGAAAGCCTCAAAAGGTAATTGCAAAAGAAGTTGGATGTTCCCAAAGTGCTGTAACAAAGCACATTAATAGAAAGTTATCTGGAAGGGAAAAGTGTGGAAGAAAAAGATGCACAAGCAGCAGGGATGACCGCAGCCTGGAGAGGATTGTCAGGAAAAGGCCATTCAAAAGTGTTGGGGACTTTCACAAGGAGTGGACTGAGGCTGGAGTCAGTGCATCAAGAGCCACCACACACAGACGGATCCTGGACATGGCCTTCAAATGTAGTATTCCTTTTGTCAAGCCGCTCCTGAACAACAAACAACGTCAGAGGCATTTTACCTGGGCTAAAGAAAAACAGAACTGGTCTGTTGCTCAGTGGTCCAAAGTCCTCTTTTCTGATGAGAGCAACTTTTGAATCTCATTTGGAAACCAAGGACCCAGAGTCTGGAGGAAGAATGGAGAGGCACACACTGAAAGATGCTTGAAGTCCAGTGTGAAGTTTCCACAGTCTGTGTTGATTTGGGGAGCCATGTCATCTGCTGGTGTTGGTCCACTGTGCTTCATTAAGTCCAAGGTCAATGCAGCCGTCTACCAGCAGATTTTCGAGCACTTCATGCTTCCTTCCACAGACGAACATTATGGGGATGCTCACTTCATTTTCCAGCAGGACATAGCACCTGCTCACACTGCCAAAAGCACCAAACCCTGGTTCTATGAAAGTGGGATTACTGTGCTTGATTGGCCAGCAAACTCACCTGGCCTGAACCCCATAGAGAATCTATGGGGCATTGCCAAGAGAAAGATGAGAGACATGAGACTGAACAATGCAGAAGAGCTGAAGGCCGCTATTGAAGCATCCTGGTCTTCCATAACACCTCAGCAGTGCCACAGGCTGATAGCTTCCATGCCACGCCGCATTAAGGCAGTAATTGCTGCAAAAGGGACCCAAACCAAGTACTGAGTACATATGCATGCTTATATTTTTCACAGGTCCGATATTGTTCTATGTACAATCCTTGTTTTATTGATTGCATGTAATATTCTAATTTTCTGAGATTGTGGATTTGGGGTTTTCATGAGCTGTAAGCCATAATCATCTCAACTTTGACAAATCACAGCTTGAACTATCTTGATTTGCATGTAATGAGTCTATCTCATATATTAGGTTCACCTTTTAAGTTGCATTACTGAAATAAATGAACTTTTGCATGATATTCTAATTTTTTGAGTTTCACCTGTATGTTATGGCAATAAAGAACTATAGATTGCAAAATGTAGGCCCCCAAGCTTTTTTATAATATCACATGAAAACAAAAGGGTTATAGATAACCCAATACAGTTACTTCCAGTTAGAATACATTTCCCATCAATTCTGTCTGATGCTTCTCAAAACATTAAAAATTGGAACCTAACTTATCTGGGAAGTATAAGATATGGAAATGCTGAGAACCACGTTACACATAGGAACGTTTCAATCATCCAAAGCCTTATCTGAAGTCAAAACAACTCACAAATCTATACCACTGAGACAAATTCTTTTTCTGCTACCTTACCTGCCAATGTAGGTAACAAATTCAGTGTCTCAATAACCCTGAAAATGTATTTCTTCAAGCACGTAATGAAAGTATCAGTACAAACCAGAATCAGTACCTTTTTCACTTGATGTCTCCCTGGGATATTTTTTAGTTCTTGAGGAAATGTAGACTGAATCTGTGATAGATGGTGCTGATGAGGCTGATGTGGTTGCTGCACTGCCCCCTTTGTCAGTGTGACCTTCCGCATTGGCTGATGTCTCTGCTCTGATGGCTGCAAAAGCCGGTGAGGCAGTCCTTCCAAATGAGAAAAGTCAACATTCTCACCACCCTGTAGGAAAGTTGAAAACATTCTGTTCAAGATTTTTTTTAAAAAAACTACTACATATTTTTGGCAACAGCTACTATAGAACCTAACTTGGATATCAGACTCAGAAGCATTAAGACAATGCTTTATTCAGAAGAGAATATGCATGCCTTCCTAAAGTTGGGAGAGGGTTAGGAAGAGAAGGCATTTAGAACTTTCTTCCTGCATGATTATTTCTTAGTTATCAGACACAAGTTGTATAGTTTTCAACAGACATATATGTGAATCAGATGCTAGTACAACTTTCTGCAATTTTGAGCCCTGTAGTTCTGAGGCTCTCAACTCAAGAATTTTCAGTCAGTTTGACTACTTATGTAACAAAACACTAAGGACTTCTTGCTTTTCATGTCCTGCTTATGGTATGAAAGTACCTCATACTGGTGACTGTCAACATTTGAAGATATAAACAAAATGGAAATTGAGTTTTGATTAAAGCATGGATTTTTATTTTATTTTTTATTTATAAAATTTATTGGCTACCCATCTTACCACGGTTAAGATGGTCAAACACATTCTGGCTTAAAAGGTCATCCAGACTTTTCCAGGGAGTAAAAATCTGTCCAAACTAAACCCAGATAGTTTATGGATTATATTGCCTTCGTTCCCCTGTCAGATGGCTCCTTCATCTGACAGGGGAACTAGAGGAAGGTTGATAAACCTGTTCCTCAATCCTCTCCATCCCTGTATGACCTCTGTATCAGCCTGCCCATCAATATTTCCAGCATCTTCCTTTCACTTATCCACCGCTGCACTTGAATTCAAGAAAGGTATATCTACCCAAGCCCCCAATTTTTCTTTAATTATTTCTCAGCACATGCTCACCTCCTTTCAGGCGCAAGGAACCAGAAACTACACAAGGAGATGATCAGCGTGGTATGTTTATTGCTACTTGACTATTGACAAGAATCTTGCCAGATTAATGCACTCACTATAGAACTAATAGATAAATACTGCGAAGCTTTAGGGAGGATTTCATTTTACCCGCTTCCACTCCATTGATTCCAGGCTAGCCAGCCTTTTCACTCCCCCCCCACAACTCAGCTCGATTCCACCACATCTCCTTCCCATCTTCATTTCTGTCTGGTCCACGTCCCTCTCCCCAGTCTTACCTTGCCTTAGCCCTCCCATGTTTTAGCCATTGCCTCTTGCCCTGTAACATTTTTGTCAGCACACAAGCATTCACGATCTGTGCCCAGATAAGCTCTTAATGACTTCAGTATGGACGTGAACCATCCAATACTTGCTGATTATAATATTTTGCACATGCCTAATGGAAATGCAAGGATGCTGGATTAATATGAGTTAGAATTTTGGTCTGATCCAGTCAGGCTGCTATCTTTATGAAGCAGTTGTCCTAAAGGTGCTTTTTCAAGAGGCAGCTGGACTTTCTGGTTTTTCTTTGAAGATGTTTCACTTCTCATCCAAGAAGCTTCTTCAGCTCTGACTGGATGGTGGGGAATGGAAGGATTTATATTCCTTGCAGACAGCTGGTCATTTGCATTCTTTTAGCAAGTCATTAAGGCCACCTGGAGGTTTATCTGTGTAATCAGGGTAATCTGGGTGGTGCAAATGGGTGTGGAGCAGGGGTGTCAATCTCGTGATGACACATTGTCACGTGACATATTGCAACTTTTTCCCCTTCGCTAAACTGGGGGTGGATGTGGATGGCACATGACGTATCTGGGCTGCGAGTTTGACACCCCTGGTGTGGAGCCTTCTTGGAACTGTTGAAAGGACTGTGTTGTAGACTGGAGGTAGATGATGTTGTATCCCTCCTCCTCTGTTGAGGGCTGTTCAATTTTGGCATAGGTGGCCTCTTTGACCTCTTTTTCAAACCAGTGGTCCTCTCTGTCCAAAATGTGGACTTTGTTGTCTTCAAAAGAGCAGCCTCTGTCTTTTAAATGCAGATGGACTGCTGAATCTAGTCCTGATGGGTTTGTTCTCCTATGTTGTGCCATGCATTTATGAAATGGTTGTTTTGTTTCTCCAATGTACAAATCTGCACATGGCTCACTGCTGCACCAAGGGTTCACCTGTGTCCCCCATTGTGGCCAATCACTACATGGAAGACATTTATGGAGCAGTCCTTTTCTAACTATAGTACTAGATTATTCAAAGAAAATAAGTCAAACCATGGTATGTGAAGTTTGAAGAAACCTCTTGAGAAACCAACAATTATATCAGTGAAGACTTGGACTGATGAAGCAAAGTTAAACCTACAGGCTTGCTTTGATTGCACTGATTGGAATGTTTTTGAAGATACCTCTGCAGACCTAGATGAGCTCACAGATACTGTAACATCACATGTCAGCTTCTGTGAAGACCTATGTGTTCCAACCAAGAACCTGTGAATATACAGTAACAATAAACCATGGTTCACAGCTAAACTTAAGCAGCTTCATCATTCCAAAGAGGAAGTGCACAGAAAAGGTGATAGAATGCTGTACAATCAGGCCAGAAACGTATTATCAAGAGAGATCAGAGCAGCAAAAAGAAACTACTCTGAAAAATTAAGGGATCAGTTCTCAACAAATGAACCAGCAATCATGTGGAAATCTCTTAAAAATATCACCAGCTATGGCAAACCTCCTTACTAGGCAGAAGGAAATCAACAACTAGCAGATGACCTGAATGTGTTTTACTGCAGGTTTGAAAGGAAACTACAGCCATTTATCTTCACAACCACCATCTCCAGATGGTGCACCAGGCCCTGACAAGATAACTCCTTCTTGCTCAAAAGCCTGTGCTGACCAATTGGCCCCCATCTTCACCTGAATCTTCAATACATCTCTAGAGATGTGCTATATTTCCTTCTTGCTTCAAACGCTCTACTATCATACCAGTGCCGAAGAAACCCTCCATCAAGGAACTGAATGACTACAGACCAGTTGCTCTAACATCTGTAGCTGTGAAAACCTTTGAAAGGCTAGTGCTGTCCCACCTGAAAACCATTATGGATCCGCTGTTAGACCCCCTGCAATTTGCATATCGAGCAAATAGATCAACAGACGATGCTGTTAATATGGCTCTGCACTACATTCTACAACACACTGAATCTCCAAAGACCAGCATTCAATACCATCATTCCAGACATTCTTCTAAGTAAACTAAACCAACTAGTGGGACCTGAACACACTTGCAAGTGGATCGTAAGTTTCCTAACAGATAGGAAGGAGCAGGTGAAGCTAGGCAGAATCACATCTGATACCTGTACAATTAGTACAGCCCACCCCCCCCAAGGCTGTGTGCTTTCCCCACTTCTCTTCTCCCTATATACTAATGACTGCATCACCAAGGATCCATCTGTTAAACTACTGAAGTTTGCAGATGATACAACACTGATTGGTCTCATTCGAGATAACGACAAATCTGCATACAGATAGGAGGTTGTACAACTTGCCACATGATGCGACCAGAATAATCTGGAACTTAACCAGAGGTGGTATTCAGCAGGTTCTGACCAGTTCTGGAGAACCTGTAGCAGAAATTTTGAGTAGTTTGGAGAACCGGCAAATACCACCTCTTTTGTTGCCCTGCACAGGAGAATGGAGCTGGAAAGCAGGTTAGTGGGGTGGGGAGGGAATGGGGATTTTGCAGTAATTTTCCCCCAGGAATGGGGAAGGAATGGAGATTTTACAGTACCCTTCCCCTGTAGTGGGGTGGAAATGGAGATTTTGCAGTATCCTTCCCCTGGAGTGGGGTAGGAATGGAGATTTTACAGTATCCTTCCCCTCCCACACCCACCAAGCCATGCCATGCCCACCAAGCCACACCCACAGAACCGGTAGTAAAAAATTTTGAATCCCACCACTGAATTGAACACACTCAAAACCGTAGAAATGGTGGTAAACTTTAGGAGAAACCCTTCCATACTGCCACCTCTTACAGTACTAGACAACATAGTATCAACAGTAGAGACCTTCAAATTTCTAGGTTCTATCATATCTCAAGACCTAAAATAGACACCTAACATCAAAAACATCATCAAAAAAGCACAACAAAGAATGTTCTTTCTGCACCAACTCAGAAAGCTCAAACAGCCCAAGGAGCTGCTGATAGAGTTCTACAGAGGAATTACTGAGTCTGTCATCTACACCTCTATAGCTGTCTAGTTTGATTCTGCAACCCAATAAGACAGACACAGACTTCAATGGATAATTAGAACTGCAGAAAAAAAAATTTCTACTAACCTGCCTTCAATTGAGGACCTGTATAATGCACAAGTCAAAAAGAGGGCTGTGAAAATATTTATGGACTCCTCACATCCTGGACATAAACTGTTTCAACTCCTACCCTCAAAACGACGCTATAGAGCAATGATGGCAAACCTTTTAGGGACCGAGTGTCCAAACTGCAACCCAAACTCCACTTATTTATCGCAAAGTGCCAACACGGCAATTTAACCTGATTACTAAGGTTTTACTACCAGTGGTGGGATTCAAATAATTTAACAACCGGTTCTTCTTAATGACCTGGTAGGCGTGGTTGGGGGGGTGTCGTGTGACTGAGTGGGCATGGCCAACTCTATGTCACTCATGTGGGTGGTGCCTGCATGAGACAGGCAGGGTTGGGGAGGGAATCCAGGGGTCTCCAGTGAGTGGGGTGGAAAGAAAAAAAGATCCAACCTCTCTGTGTGCGTGTGTGCGTGTGTGTGTGAGAGAGAGAGAGAGAGAGAGCATGGCCACCAGCCCTTATATAACTCTCTGAGATTGGATCGGATCTCTCTCTCTCACACACACACAAACAGAGGTTAGATTGGATCTCTCTCTCTCATTCTCTTTTTTATTCTCTCTTATTCTGTCCCCCGTCTCCCATTCTCTCATTCTCTCTCTCATTCATTCTCTCTCTCTCTCTAATTCTTTCTCTCCCTCCCTTCCTCCCTCCCTCCCTGCTTTAGGCAGGCTTAGAAAGTCTGCAAGGCCCGGCATGTTGCGGACACCCCTTGCTCGCCCCTTTGCCTGCCT